GGTTTGGTATTGCTGGAATGTGGTCTTTCGTTAGATTACATAGTGTCAAAGGTTGTAGGTTCTAGAGAAGTCCGAGGTGGTTGGGAGCAGAAGAGGGAAAAAGAGGCTACACGCTGGTGTAGTGTGACCTGCTGCTTCCCCAGATGCAGGCTGTGAACCAGACCTCATGGCAGGAATGGTATGACTTTGTGTTTCCAATACTCCTGGCTGTTTATCCAGGTATGAGTCACACCCTGTCCACGCGGTTCAATCCCAGAAATCGTGAGCTGATGGGGAAGCTGGCAGGCTTGTTTGCCAGGCTCAGCTTGCACCTAGGATGACAAATTTAAGAAAGCCATAACACTATTGGGAGTCACTATTGCTGTTTGTAAAGATGAATTACCTTCTCCACTTCTAGGTGCTGTAAGGTCTGGAATGTCCAGTGCTGATAAGAAGCTGGAAGGCATCATGCTAGGAAAAGTCGACATCCATCTGAGTACAAGTAGAAGACAGGTGAGTTGGTTCCACCCATTTATTCATTCATCAATTAAATATTGATCCCACACCTGCCTTGTGCCAGGCCTGATATTAAGACCAGTGGTGATGAGAGCAAGGTAGTGTCCATGTTCTTCGGAGGTTTGCTCCGGCAATGGACGTGTACTCAACATGCATACAGAGAGGAGTACATACCCACTGCAATCATGACATCAAATGCTGTGAGAAAAGAAAAGAATTGTCTGGCACAGGATAGGTGCAGACAGCCTAGTATTCACAAGGTCATCGATTTGTTCTTTTACTCTGCAGAGAATGAGCTAGTCCTTTCAATCAGAAACTGTTTCTGAGCTCTTGGGACAAGAGGCAGGAAATTCAAGAAATGAAGTTAATCCTGGGCTTAGTTTAGCTTCGATGTGTCCATTACCAAAGGGCTGGGGGAAGCCTACCCTTTTCTTACCTTTTTCAGTTCCACGTTATTTTGGCCAAAGGACTCTGGACTCATTAGTCATTTAAAATGGACCAGATTGGAGGATCTCTAAGATTAGCATCTAAATCTTACACCTCATGTTAGAAAAAAAGGGTTGCATTTTACATATTTCACCAAATATCTCATTTAGACAGAGCTTGAAATGAATAAAAAAAAGAGTTGGAGGATTTGTATTTTATTAACTAAAATAGCCAATTTAATCAAGATCTCTTCCTCTTCACCGTTTGGTAGGTGAGCGCTTGCCACATGTATAAACTATGTAATATCCCTGGATGGCAGCAGATCTCCAGAATAAAGCTAGCGCTCTGAAAGGCCATTTGGATCAGTCTTAGGACACAGAGGGACAGACTTAGGACCTGAACATTGCCATCTTCTGCCCGGAGCAAGATATTCAAATAAGCTTATCCTCCAGAGTGGCTGTGTGCTCTCACTCCTCTGTTACCACCACCTTCACTGCTGAGCAAATCAACTTAGGGCAGGGAAAGCCTTGAAAAAATGACTGTGTTCAACTACCAGATAGAATGATCAATCCTCAATGGCTCAACACATTTCCTTGATTCTTTTGAGGGCTGGGATGGGGTGGTGGAAGATTGCTGACACAGCAATAAACAAAAAACTCTGTAGGGCTGGCCAAATAGCTCAGCAGATTAAAGTGCCTGTAAGCAGGCGCAGCGGTCAGGGGTTCGATCCCTGGGCCTGCATGCTAGTCCTGCCCCCAGGGAGTGCTGAGACAGCAATTGAGACTGGATGTAGTGGCATACACCTGTAATCCCTGCTCTTGGGAGGCTCACTATGAATCTGATCTAGTAGTGAGTCCCTGAATGTCCTGTAGACCCTTACCTAAAAATACACACACACACACAGACACACACACAGACACAGACACAGACACACACACACACACACACACACACACACACCTCCTTGATCTAATAAAGGTCAGTATAGGAAAGGGAGATAAATGAGACATAAATGTAAACTTTAGTTTCAATCAGTAATAAATATTAACAAAAATAGTTTTGCAATAGAGGGGAGAAAAGCGTGATTTGAGTCAGGCAGTCAGGACCATCCTCTTTGAGAAAAGATCACTGAAACAGGATGTGTATGGAAGGAGAGTAGGACAAACAGAAGGAAAAACGGAGGCAAAGGAAGCTGTAAAGACAGCAAGAAGTTAGGTCGGGCTTTGAAGTTGGCAACAAGGATTCATCTGAGGAGTAAACTGGGAAACCATGGGGGGCGGTTCATGTGGGAAATGACATCATCTGACTTATTTTTAACAGGCCACCTTAGCTTCTCACCTGGGAGTAGAGTATAGTAGGATGGAAGTGAAAGATGAAAACTAGTCCTTTGAGAGTCTCCTGGAAGTTAGTCAGAGAAAGAATGCCAGTAAGGACAAGCAATACAGCCAGGGGTAGACAGCACAGGGCCCCTGTGCAGGAGGAAAGTTGCACTCATGTGCATGTCTTCCCCTTGGGAGAAAGTGAAGACTTAGAGACAGGTAACCACGTCCTAGATATCTGATTACCTGCAAAGAGCTTAGCTTGGGTGTCTGCATCCTTGACTGTCAAGAGGGTGCATGTGTTTCTTAGGGATGCTTAAGCATTAGAAGAGACACTATACTGTCTGACCCATGAGCATATTATACCTATGAGCACTGTTTACCTCTCCTCTCATTTATAGATTACAAGAAGCTTAAAAAAGAATGGCTTTGGGCTGGTGAGATGGCTCAGTGGTCTAAAGCACCTACTTAGAACAGGCTTAGCAAAGCATAGGGACTGCGATTCAATCCCCCAGCACCACATGCCAGCCAGCCCCGCCCCCTGGTGGGCTGAGCTGCCCCCCCCCACAAATAAATAAATAAAATAAATATTTTTTTTTAAAAAAGAATGGCTTTGTTCAAGCACCCTATTCTTTACTACCAGGCCAAGGCTGTCCTCTGATCTATGATTCTCTGTGCTCAGGAGGGAAGGGCTGGTGCCTGCCATAAGGGGCAGGGTCTTAGGTGGCACTGTATGGGGAGGACTGTGGGGAGTCAGCCAGCAATGGGTCTACGGCAAGCTGGCAGACATTCCCCATGCCTTTTCATCACAGCCATCTGCAGATAACACATCAGGGGTGCCCGTGTGCTAAGAAGCTGGTCTCCCAGCCTTTCCATCTATCTATTTTCTGAATGACCTTTCTGTTTTAGAGCAGGTGACCAGCTCTGTCTCAAGTTAGAAGAAGTTGTCCAGCTCCTTCCAGGTCATGCAGTGAACTCCTCCCCACCTGTCTCTGTGAGGGGAGGTAGGGTTTCTCCTTGCAGGGCCTTCTCACTGACATCACTTTCTTCTGTCACTCACTGCACAAATGTACTCCCTGAAGCCCTAGCATGCCAGGCCAACCTGGTCCATGCCCCAGTGAGGAAGTGGAGGTTCAGGACTCGGCCAAACAAAGTGTAGGCTGAGCTTGGACAAGACACATAGACATTGTAGGCCCAGGGCCATTCCTGTCTCCTTGTTCTGCTGTATGATGGATGAGCCAGGCTACTTTTCACTGTGCTCTGCAAAGCTGCATCTATAGAGACGTGAGGAAGGTGAGGCTGAGCGCAGTGAGTGGAGGAGGCCGGAGGGAAATCATGCGAGAGCATGAAGGGTGAAATCACTGTGCACGGTGAGGATAAATCCCATAGGCTCTTCCCACTTCCCCCTTCTGCCTTCCTCTGTCGTCTTGCACTGGTGACACACAGGCCTGAGCTGCAGCATCTCTATCCATATAAAGAGATGGCAGGAAAAAGCTCTTCAGCCTTCTCTCCACTCGGCACTGGGTCCAGGTACAGGATATCTGAAAAGGATCAGGAAGTCAGCCGCAGTCTCACCAGAAAGGAACAATGAAGAGACTTAAAATGCAATACTTTTACCTCCAAGTCTCCCCCATTTACCCTTTCCAAATGACAAGTTGCTTACTCATTTGAGCTTCCCATTTGAGCTTTCTCATAAGTCAAGCAGGAATAAAAATAGCGATTCTGCTTGAAGCCAGGGGACTGAGCCAAAACTGCACACCAGCCAAGGCCCAGAGCTGGGGTCCTCCACAGCCATGCTGATACTCAAGCAGAAGGACAGAGGAGCATGAACCTCGTAGCCTGAGTTCCCTCTAAACTCAGCTCTGCACCCCTAGATTTGATGCTCTTGGAGAAACTCTGCTGGTTTTACACTTCAGTTTCCTATGAAAACGGAGATCGCAGTGTATCTGCTTCATAGAGTTGATGTGAAGCTGCCACTAAGTTAAGGGCTTTGGAATGATCAGCATCAGTGATCAACACTGTTATTATCTTTATTTTATTCTCAATCCTGGAAGGCTCTTTAGAAATTGTCTTCATGTAGGATGAGAGTCAGGAAATCTGCTCATCTTGAAGGCTATGCATCTGCAGAGGCTCCTGCCTTGTGAGACCTTCCCCCATTGCTCCCACCTCCTGTAAATGAGGAATAGGGGGACACAGCCTCCCAGATTTCTGAAGAAGTTCCTGGTTCCAGATTCCAGTGTGCACTGCCCTGAAGTGTATTGCAGTTACCATATTCATTTGCATTCTGGAGTTCAAGGGCCCGACGTTCATAACCCAGCTCTGGTTTCTGTGGTCCAGAAGGAGTCAAGTCTGTAGAAACTACAGCCAGAGAGAGTAGCTCATTCACCTTCCCAGCCATCCCTGCAGCCTTCACAAAGAGCAAAATCCTATAAATATGTTGTGAGCGCACAGCATAAATTTATTATCTCTTCAGTGAAGAAACCAGAGGGATGATAAAACTTAGTCAAAAAAGTGTCAGAGGTCAGGTGTATGTTGTTGGTCAGGAAAAAGGAACCTCAGAAATAAGATGGATAAGATATATGCATGAAAGTAGTCAATGCCCTATAGGGCAAGAAAGCCATAGCATTTGTTATTGGATAGAGGTAGATTCCCCTTAGTAATCACGTGAGTATTGGATGACTGTGCTACAAAATGCTCCCCTGCTGAAAGCACTGATTGTCGAGATTTTCTCTCAGTTGGAAATTTTGGATATATTTTTTAAAGAATGGAACGTACTTCATCAATTTCTAAGTCATCCTTGGCTAAGGGCCATGCTGGTCTTCTCTGTCTTGTTCCAGCTTTAGCACGTGCACTGCTGAGGCGAACATTTGGATAATGTTTAATCATTGTTAACTTCTCTAAGCCTCAGTGTCTTCAGCTATAAAATGGGGATGTCTGCACCCATATCCCAGAACTGCTTTCATCTTAGTTCAAATGCAAGGTACATAAGGCACCCAGAACTTTATGATGTTGCCCAGTGTTGGCACCACTTTGGCTGAATAGCAAGGAGCAAAGCGGAAGGAAAAGGACTATGTCTGTGTCTGCCGCGTGTCAGGCGTCATGCAGTGTGTTCTGTGTGTGCACGTATGCGTGCCTTTCCCGTCAGAAAGGCCTCCGGTGGGTGTGAACTTGGTGCCCGGCTTTACGATTTGGGAGATTCAGGTTAGCAGGGTTGAGTGGCTCGCCTTGCACCTCCGACATGGCAAGTACGGTGTGGGGCTCCAGTTCCAAGGCTGCCTCTTTCCATAAATGCTGCTGCCTCTTTAAAAGACAAAAAGAAAAAACAAATTACAGGAAAACTCACAAGCCAGGGATTTTCAACAGCATTTGCATTGAACTTGAATTTGATTTAGCAGCATTTATTCATTTCCCAGTTATTCATCCAGATTTTGTCCCTTCCTTCCTCTCTCCCCACCCTCCCAGACCCTGAAGCAAAAAAGCTTTTCTTTTTACCATTCACTTAGCACTTCAAAGCCAGGAGGATGCAGCTCTGAGTGAAACACTGTGCTGGCAAAATGACACTCCATTTTCCAGCAGCCCTAACAAAGCCTTTTGATTTGAATGTCAATGCTGTGAGTCTGATTAAATGTAAGATTCACTTTTACATTCCCCAGCTGCGAAGGAAGTTGTGCAGTTCCATTAGTTGGATGTGTGGTTGAGGATACAGCCCCCAAAAGTTTCTATGGTGATGCAGCTCACAAGGTATTCAGGATGGGTGTGGAGCCCCGTGGGTTTCCAGGCATGGAGCCTGGAGAGGCTGCAGGTTTGGAGGACGACGCAGTGCACAGTACTTGGTAGGCCTCGGACCCTGCTGTTTCTATCGTCTTTCTTGTGCATGAGCTCTGCATGCCAACACACACAAAATATCTTTCCTTCACAGAGAGAGAATTACTCTTTGGCTGTGACTCAGTTAGTCCCATTCTCTGCTGCAAATCATCTGCTGTTCTGTGACGTGAAGTTAGGATCTGTGAAGAGTCATCCAGGAAAAATGTGATTGTTATCATTTATCTATAATGGTTTTAGGCCCTGTCCTCTTTTCCTGGGGGTCAGAAACTGTAAGTACTCCACTAGGTCAGTAGATGCCAGCTCTGAATCCACCACAGCAGAGATCATGTCTATGTATTTATTGCTGGACTCCCCACCACATCTGAGAGCTTGGTACGAGTAGGTATGAATGACTCCCTCTGGTTACGGGCCTTGGGTTCTGCCTGGCCTTTGGAAAGATCACTTTAGTTATACCAGGAACAATTCCTGCATTGTAAACTGGAAGTAACTCCCTCTTTTCTGGGGTTGTGGTAGGAAAGAATCAGTAATGGACACGTAGGAGGTTTCTAAAATGGTAACATGCCACTGAAATAAAAGTGGTTTGTGGCTGAGATGGATGGGGCTGTTCAGAGGTGTAGGTTTATGGACTAACTGCAGAACTAAACAGGCCCCTCTCTCCGACAAGAGTCCACTTGAAGATCAGCCAGGGGTTACCAACATCTTCATAAAAATGGCCCCAGAGAGTCATGCTGGTAAGACGTACCCTCAATCTCTTTTTCAGGGACATCATCAAAATTCATTAACGTTGGTAGAATGATTTGCTAGCCCTGAATAATAGGTGTAACAGAAGTGTAAACTTATTAAAACATGAATTGGGTTGTTTTCTGGATGACTTAAGCAGGCAGTAGGGTGAAGGCAATTTCAGAGGGTGTTTTGCAGAGTCCAGTACAGAATAAAAGCTGAATTTGTCTATCATCAGTCTGGTTTTCTGCACAGAAGGGTATCATGTAATCAATGCAGGTAGGAAAATAGAAACACAAAGGAGGAGTTGGGGGAATAAAGGTTTCTTATTGGACAACTATTAACCAAGGAACCTCAGCAAGACATGGGCCTCCCCGAGGTTTGCATTTGCTCTGTAAACACATGAGAAAATCTAAAAACTTATGGCATGAAACCAGATTTACAAGTGATCAATTAGGACTTGGGAAAAATGAAGGTGTTTCTTTGGTCCAGTAACGTAATTGGATGTTGAGTTTAAAATTAAACAAACATGCCTTAGGACCATACTTCAGAAAGCTTTTAATAAATCCCTGTCAATCTCGCACGAAAGGGAAAATAGAAGGTAGATGTATTGTGTGGGGATTTAAAATATAAATATAGTGCTTCATAAAATTATTGTACTATATAGATTTTTGTTTCATTGCAAGTAACATCTGAGTTAGTAGTATTCTTTGATTACTTGGGGGAAGCACTATCCCCCCCGTGATGTGTTAGGTGACTTTCCTTCTTCAACAATCACTCAGGTCAACATCCTAAAGCACCACTTCAATTTCAGTGAGGCAACACTTGTACATTTATTAGATTGAGCGTTATTTTAAAACAAGCTATCAAGCAAGCAAGCAAAGAAATGAACAAATCCAGCAGGTAAGGCCCTGAATCCTGTCTTTTCTTCTTCTTCTTTTTTTCCTTTGCTTTCCTTTGCTTTCCTTTGCTTTCCTTTGCTTTCCTTTGCTTTCCTTTGCTTTCCTTTGCTTTCCTTTGCTTTCCTTTCCTTTCCTTTCCTTTCCTTTCCTTTCCTTTCCTTTCCTTTCCTTTCCTTTCCTTTCCTTTCCTTTCCTTTCCTTT